GTATGCATTCAGTTAAATTATGTCCCCTTACATAATCAATTTAGCTTTATTGTGCTTTTCAGGGTCAGAAAATCAAATAAATTAATGACATTTGCATGGAAAATGAATAAACTATTTAATCTTGCTGATCTACAATCATAATCACATTCTTTGTCCAAAAAATTGTCTTGTCAATGTAAAGAAACCCCTAAGGCTATCTCTATTTCAGCTAAATATGAGGGCTAAATGAATAAGTAAGGACCCATTAACCACTTACTAGTTCCAAAAAAGCTCTTTACTGGTGTCATGTTACCACAGAACTACAAATTAAACCTGAAGAAAACTAGTATAGCTGTACTTGTGTGGAAAAAAATAAAAAATTATGCACTTTATTTATTACGGTGAAAATTATAGGATGTACAGGCAACTAAAATATGTCGCGTCTCAAATTCCAGTTGTTGCACAAGTGTCAGACACTGCGAAAAGTTAAAACGAAACTTTATAATTAAAAATGTATTGCAAGTTACTTAAAAATAAAGAAATTTTACTTTCTAGGTAAATTTTAACATTATTATCCACAGATCAGGCAAAATTTGCTGAATCAGCAATTTTCACTCCCAGGGGTGAAATTTAAGGGCTGTTTTTATTCTAGTTGCCCTTAATCAACTTTTTATTGATAAACTTACAAATTGCATAGGTAAAAAAAATACCTTTATTAATTTTGTGTAAACATATATATCACAGTTAAGGTGGCACGGTAGTATTTCCTGGCCCATAAGGGATAATGATAGCCTTTTTAGGATTTTCACCACTTTCTAGCACTGCGAAAAATTCTACATACACAGTTAACTGAAGTACTTTCATTATACTAATCAGAAATAAATTTGAATATGTATCATGACCGTTTACTTTTTTTGCTATTTTTAAAAACCTAAGGCCACTAGTGCTTTTAGGTCTTTTATCATGCAGTGAATACAAAATTTTAAAAAATTCTCAAAAATTCATTTTCACCTGTATGTAAAATTACTTCATATTTTTCTACACCTGATTCATCCCCCGGTTTGGGAAAGTATGTTCAGTTGATACTGTATTTTTAGTCCAATCACACTGTTCAGATACATTGACCTAAGTAGGGTACACAAAAGAGCAACCTAAATTCTGGAATGCAAATACTACCGTGCTACCTATATACATATGTGCCGCTGGAATGGGTCCCTTTTTTGATACGTCAAATATATCAATGGGGTGCAATTTTACCGAGGAAGTATATCAATAGGTAGTAATTGACCAATTGTGATATATGAATGGGTCATAATTTTTCAGTTTGTTGTGCAACGATCTTCACTGAATTTCCCAAACTCTTTGTCATTTAAATTTCCACATCTGCTGAAACTTATTGACACAAATTATTGAGGTTAGGGGGCACGAAACGTACAACTTATGAAACCAATCGCGTGTTGTTTTTTTATGAATGAGATACACCGGTTGACCCCAGGTCAAGCGAGGTAAATGACGTCCTTGAACAATCAGTTCTTACTGTGACGTAATAAGATAAGCATTGTGACATACGAAATATCTGCCCCTAGAATGCGCCATTTAACATTTTTTGAAACCTATATCATTTCGATGAATTAACTATTGAAATATCGGCATTCAAAAATTTACACAAAAAGTAACTGGCGACAAGAAGCGATCAGTTGAAATCTTGATACCTAGCCAATCGAAACAAAAAGTATATAGACACTCGCCATTTCAACAAACATAATTTTGCAGTAACCTTTATTATTTTTCCGTATCTATTTCAGAATACTTTAAATCAACTTGCAACAAAACTGTTCAAATACCAGACGAGGGAGATATTCTATTCGTGATAGACAAGTCGCATCGTTTGTCGAAAAGAGCATGCACAGTGTTTGTCTTAAATCCAAACTCATCGTCACGTGTTTTAGTATATTTGAACATATTCAAAATTGATACTTCTAAAGGGTGCAGACAATCTGGTTTGGATACTTTTGATGACCATGGAAAAAACAAGACACTAACAGGTACCAATGACTTTTTAAATTAAATTTTTATGATTGAATCTATTGATAACAAACTGAATCTTGGTACCGATAGAAACAATATTTAAAGATCTCATAACACTGTTAAATTGATATCATTTTAGAATAAATTTTTTCAAAGATCGATAAGTTTACATGTATCGAATCTAAATTTACGGGCTCTATGAACAAAATCCCAAGTAAAAATGAGGATGTGATATCTTGTTTGTAATAAGTTTTCTACAGGTAAAAGAAATTTCCATAACAAATCTATGTATCTATTTTGAGTTAACGAAATCAATGACTTTATCATTTACCAGCGATGAATAAATTACGTTTATTGATAGCTATAACGTCATTACAGACACGGGATTAGCGAATAAGTTTTTTATGCAAAATGAAAGAATAACATAAAACCATTTGCATAGCAGTAAACTGCATTGTACCTGAAAAATGGCGTCTAAATTTTGACGTTGTCCGAACCACGTTGAAGTTTCACGGGCACCTGTAAAGTGTTTTATATAATACCCATCAAACCTTAGATAGTAAGACTTGGATGTTTAACGTCTGACACAGCAATTTAAGGATGTTCGCTCCTGTTGTTTTTGAAATTTTGCCAGATATTCGGAATCCTCTGGTTTTATCCATGTAATGCCATTAAAAAATTTTGCCTACTAACCCCTACTTTTCTTTTCATAATTTGATTACATATAGTTTAAAATGCAATCTTTGAAAATCTTATTAAATCCTTGTTATTTTTTCATTCTTTTTGGCAGAAAAAAAGGTGCCAATGTTAAATGTATGAAAAGTCTAGAGAGAATCATTTCCCGCCAAATTTTCAATGGCTTATATCTCGAAAACAAGCTCACGGACCCTTCATTTTTTTCTGCTTTTATATTTCCTTTATTTATATACTATCAATTTATAACAGTCTTTTTAAAAGCTTGTTATTTTGAAACAGAGTAGCGAACATCCTTAATGGCCGAAGTCAGACAGGCATCAAGTGTGTTCATTGATTTCGTGGTAAACCCAATGGAAATCATTGAATTCCGATAAATTAATACTTATACCGCACATAAATATTTCCCTTACTTTCAGCAGTTTTATCTTATTCTTCATTCCTGTTTTATTTCGATTTTATTAAGCACGTGTAAGCTAACTGCGGCGAACAGGAATCTTTGAATTTGGACTGAAGATCTAAGGTAAAAATCCATAGTTTTTATAATTAGTATTTGTGTCGTTTTGTTGCTGTGTAATTTACCATACACATCTTTTCATTCATATACAAAACCAATTACAAATTTGATAGTTACAAAAATAGTCTTCCCATTGGCATAACCATGAAAATTATCACTTATAGGTCCGAACGGGTTATGTGGCTCTATTAAAAAAGATTTGCCTCATTGGTATCTTCGCTTTTCTCAGTACAACTGCTTTTGAAATAAAAATGCAATGTAAATAAATCGAGAAAACCGTACATATTCAAAGCTCCAAGTGTTGACTTGGGTATAGAAATATGGTCACCTGAACTTCGTCCTTTCCGGTAGTAAAGCCCTTGCCGAAGTTGGGCGTCCATTTGGTAGTGAGTGGTATATAATTTCGCAGCTACGTTCGATCGGAATTGAGACTTTAAATCCGATGCCTCGTGTAGGGTAAATGCTACGCTCTCTGCACGGCAAGAACTCTTGCAACAATTCTCTGTAGATGGCCTCATGCAAGGCAAAATGTCTGCCCCTATCCAATATAGCCTCAGTCAAAATATCCCGCCCTGTATGCCGGTCATCAAACCTCGCAAACCCGTGCTTATTGTATTTATTGTTTATTTGTTCCCTTAAAGTAATTGCCACTTGACGTTAACAAGCAACATACAATCAATTACTAATATACACGTGCAATATTTCACATGATCTAAAGTAATATTTGATCAAATAAAAGAAATTCAAATTCAGATTCAAATGAATAACTTTTTTTAATTATTTGAAATAGTAATAATACTTTCGAAATGCAAATAAAATTGAGAATGGAAATGGGGAATATGTCAAAAAGATAACAACCCGACCAATTGCAAAGAGCAGACAACAGCCGAAGGCCACAAATGGGTCTTCAACGCAGCGAGAAAATCCCGCACACGGAGGTGGTCCTCACTGGTCCCTAAATAAAATTGTGTACTAGTTCAGTGAAAATGGACGTCACACTCAACTGCAAAACATATAAATGAACTAAAATTGAAAAACATGCTTGAGTTTGAGGCCACGATTCAGTATTTCGCCCGTGCGTTTTTAGTTTCTATTTTAATTTCTATTCCTAATTTTATTTACATCTCGTACTTCGTTTGTATGAATTTGAAACAAATAGACTATAGACATCAAATATCGCGGTAACTAACGATATCTATATCTTCTGCAAGATGAACATTATATACAAATCTTTGAATGAATATTTGCAATAATCATCAGTTTGAAAAAGAGAATACTTCAGTAAATTATAATTACCAGTGAACAAACCAGTGGATCTTTTCACACAAAAATTATCCTACGAGTAAAAATACTTGTAATTCCTGAACATTTTATTATAACTAAAGATCAATTTTTATCGTATGATTATTTTTTGTGACAATTTTCGCTGATGTACCAAATAATACAAACTGACTGTAACATTACTTAATACTTTGGAACCTATACTTGGTGAACGACTCTCTTGCGAAGTGAAGTGTGTTCGACTATGATCCTTATTGACGTGAGCGTATTGCCAAAGTTTTCATGCAAAAGGTCGATGGTTCTGTCTGGGAACTCAAGCTTCATCCAGCAACAGAAAAAAACTGGCCGCCATTATAGCTAAGGTTCTTAAATGAGGCGTCAAATACCAACAAACAAACAAACAAACTTTATAGTTATCTGATCCAACTGAAGATTAATTTACTTAATATATAGTAAATCTGTATCTCTTTGAATCGTAATAATGACTGAATTTCTTTTGTAGGAGCATGTCATGGAAACGAATTGAACTGTGAAAATGACTTTTGTATTCCTGGAAATTTGGCATGCAATGGATACAATAACTGCGGAAATGGCATCGATGAATTGACATGCGTATTAGCATTAGCAGTTGGTGTTATCATTGCCATAGTCATTGGTGCTATTTTGGCGATCGCATGCCTCACAACTGTCATCATCTGCGTGGTATGCCGTCCACGCCATAGAAGGCGGTATCGTCAAATATAGTTATTGGCAGTAAAATTGGACAAAGTCGGTTTACTCATGAATCCTTTCGTTCTGAAAAACCACTTTTTAAAGATATTGAAAGAAAACAGACTAAGTTGACCTCTTTTGAGAAACGTGTGCATATTCAAATTTTGAAAATCTTCTGCTTCTTTCAAGCTGAAAAAGTAAATTTGTCTCAAGAGTGTATTTTATCAATTATTTAAACCATTCATGAGTTTTTATATGTTATTTTAGTAAAATACCATATAAAGGGAATATTACACGTTTTTATAAATTTTCTGAAAATACATATAATACCAGAGACTGTAAACCTTACTGAAAGCTTATCTATTGACAAATCTCATTATTTTTAACGTACTTAATATGTCCCTTTAAATTCAAGTTTTCCATATACTCAGCATACTTCCTACGTGATTTGCGATCTTTGAAGAAACTAGATGATCTGATAAAGTTGCATTATTAAATTTGGGTCCACGAACCAAAATATGAATTATAAAGGAGAGATGAAAAAAAGTGTTGTCATGTTGTAAAAATGCGTAAAATTGTGAATTTTAGCATTTTCTTCTTTTTATGTCATGTTTGGTATCAAAAGTAATTATTTCGCATAAGTAATTAAGTTTCAATATTTTTATTAAGCAAGAAGTGCATTTTGATCGGGAAATCACATTTTTCTTAATATACACGATGTAAGGATTTAACGCAATCGTATAACAATAATTTTTGAAGATAATACATATAAAAGATAATAGGTATTATCAAAAATATTTGAAAGCTCAACCATGATACCATACCAACCATAAACACCCCACTCCTCCGAAAAAGACTTAAAACAAAGAAAAAACAACGGACAACACAGTCCCGCTTTGCCTGTCTAGACCATGTATCGTAAAAGTTAAACACAATGTAATAACATGACCTGTCCACCAATCAACCGAATGACAACTAACAAGAACAAGGAAATAAAGACAACACGTTAAATGATAATCTCCTTCAAAATGTGTTCGTTAGTACAGTAAGTTAGTGTAGGTTGCAACAGCTTTTGGTTGAAATCACCGTATCGCTGTTTATGCCAATCCGGATAAGTTCTAAAATTACACAACTTTTTCAAACCAGTTGAAGCTATCTAGGGCCTTGTTCAAACAATATATTGAGCATAAAACTTTTCATAGAGACATGTTTAAACCATAGTAAACACACCAAACAAAGTATTTTGAATGACTTTAATTTGTCTTTTAAAAATTGCTTCATAAACTATCAAAATTTTAAAATGTTCACTTTCCAAACTTTTTACTCCGTCAGCTCATTGCTGATGACCTTTGTTTTTGCATTATTTGACCCAAACAGAAAGTTGCCTAGATGATTGGTTTTTTTTCGGAATGGACCACATAGCGATAAGGTGTATACTGTCGCCCGAGAAAACTAAAACGGACCAAAAATTGCTTCTAACAGTTTTAACGTCATAAATTGGATTGACATATTTTTGAGTGGCTAGTTAGTTTAAAAATCGTCACACCATGGGAAGAAAGAACCATTTACTTTTTCTATGGGAATGAAAATAAAATCAAGAGATAAAGTTTGTTTGTGTTCTTGACAATTAGAAATGTAGGTCTTAAATTCAATTATAAGTCGAATCATGGTAACAGCAAGTCTCTTTGTTACTACATCTAGTGAAAGATTAAAAGTTTGTATTGATATATAATGACAGAGAAAATTCTTTAATTGACTTCAATTGGATCTTTCACTAATAGACAAGAGAAATAGAATTCATCTTAATATCGGTAAATGTTTTCCAAATCTATAATTGATTGTTAGTCCTTATATTCGGTACGAAGCTATTACACCTACGTCAGTCGACATAAAAAAAATGAGTTAAAAAACAAAAAATATGAAAACAACACTTTATAAGTTTCATGCGTCCGAAGCGCTTTTTTTGATTTACCTTCATCTGGTACAAGCAAACAAACATGGGATTAAAAGATGAGTTCATCTGATACAAACACATAAATCAAACAAGGGTAAAAATGAGCATAGGCGATACAATCAAACATGTGCGTATAATTGAGTATAGCTATAGTAAAAACAAACAAACAAACATGGGAGAAAACATGAGTCAATCTGACATAAACAGACTAACGTGGTAAAAATGAGTACCGGTCAATTAAACATCAGAGTAGAAATGAGTATAGCTGGTAAAAATAAACAAACACGGGAGTAAAACGTGATTCCACAAGTGATTCACAAGTACGTGGTCACGTCCGAGAAACCATCTCATCTCACAGGCACCCAGTCAAACGGGAGGCGATCTAAAAATCCAAGGCAGCTGTAATTCTTAAAAAAGTGGTATACTCAGTTATATTAACATAGGTAAATTCGACATCGTCATCACCATCTCGTTCGTTCTTTCTTTATCACTTTTCCTATATGTAGTTCATTTTTGTTATATTAATGTTGTTTATATTATATAATACATGTTCGCTTTATTCTCTTATTGTTATATAAATTGTTGTACTGTTGAGAAGATTACATAATATAAAAAACAAGAAGTGGTATGATTGTGCAAATACAAATACACTTACGTTTGAACTAAACTAGTCTAAAGGCTTCTAATGTAATGAAAAGTGTACTTATATGCTACTAGTAAATAAATTAACTTGACTCTGTAACTAAATGATTAAAGCTGTTAATTGTCTCGTTCACATCATATTTGTACCTTTCAACAATATAGTTGATTAGCAGGTTGCAGGTATTCCAATGGGCACCGATTGCGCCCTTTTTAATGGAAGACTTGTTTCTGAATTTTTATCACATCAAATCACAGTTTATTCCCAAACTCAATTAAGACAGGGGAAATCATAGAGAGGGGAGCCTAACTCGCTTCAGATGATACTCAGATAATGGCGGATTTATTTCGGAAATATCTAGATTTTACATAATAAATAAACATATAGTCCGAACATACCGATAAATTATTCTGCTAATTCGATTGGCCTAAAGTTTTTTGGTGTTTTTATTTCGATAAGTGTATGAACCCTTGACCGGTTATTTGGGGTCTTCTTTTACAGTTTCAAAATAGGATAACAAATCATTGTCACGTGCTCGTGTGTGTTAAAGCACACGAATGCACTCCATAAAAGTGTTTTCTGCGTGTATTATAAAAATATGAAAATGAGGGGGGGGAGTCTAATTGAAAATATTTCAGACTTCGAAATTACTTTCTCAAAAAAAGGCAGATTGTTTGTCTGTTCTTAATATTTCTTGAATTAATGTCTTTTCTTCCCCTGACGATATCTAAAAACAAATTTAAGGAGGGGGGGGGGGGGGGGGTAAATGTTTGATTCTAAATGTCTTTACAATCGTAAAATTTTCTTCAACGCGGATGAATCAATATTCAGCCAGAAATTTAAATAAAATGTTTGTTTTTTTTTTTATTTAAACTAATTTTCACCTGAGGAAAAAAAAGTGTCGGTGCTTTTACATAATTTTGATTTCGGGTACCAGGTAACACTGCATCCTCGTGTAAGCATTAATTTGATGAAAATCTTACAATTTTTGAAGATTTTTAAATTACAAAAATGTCAATGTCCTGTTTTTAATTATAGATATCAATAATACTGCATTGGAAAGCCCTTGAAACTTGAAAATGATCCTCCGCCTCCATTAAAAACAATGACTAAAGAATGTGATTTGGTGCAAGTCGTCCAAATATATGTTGGATATTAAAAAAGGGACTCCGTGTAGTGGTATTATAATATACTCATTGAAAGCTCTGAGAGTCTCATTAAATTATAGCCTCAGATAATAGCTAGCACTATAGCTGCAATATTATCAAGTCAAAACTTCTTTTTTTTTTACCACATTATTCACATCTTTCCGTATTTATTCTCTGTTCTTTTTAATTCACTAAATTGACAATTTAACAACTAGACGATTCCACAATGTATATAAATAATGCGAGTATAAAATACAGTGGTTGGATTTAATCGAAATTTCGTATTTCAATCATATTATCATCCTGCCCTTAAAACCTGTCCAATGTTTTTTAGAGAAGAACCTCTCATACATAGTGTTCATGCAAATTGGCTACTTCATCTTCAGCATTGTTCACTGAATCAGCATAGGCGGATCTAGGCCCCCTTTAGAGGGACAAATTTGGTTGGTTATATCATCAGTAGGGAATCACTGATCCATGACTGTAACGGACCCCCTAATAAAAACTTCTGGGTCCGCCACTAGCTGGAATGGCTAATTGTTATGCACAAACTTTGAGGAAAATATAAATATTTGGCAAGGATGCCACTTTTTCATTAGGAAGTATCCAATATTTCGTCAATGAAACAAATCCGGAAAAGGGTTGAATCATCATTATCAGAGACATATATACATGTATATATATATGTGTGTCTCTTGTTGAATAATTTGTATATTTATAAAATCTGTATTGCAGATCTTTGATGAAAAAAAATAACCTTTTTAATTAATGACGATTTGAAGCTTGACACAAGAAACAGGTAGGCACCGTTTATAAAATATTTTTCTTTAATACCTATAGATTTAGATTGTATGCCTTTTGGGAGTTTTAAAATATATGTACCCTTATTTGCTAACATCAAGAACAGAGCTCTCCATGGAAGTAAGTATCTATATAGACGCTGGTGTTACTCCAAAAAATGTTAGCGTTCGCTGCCGACGAAACACCTTTCAATATCGTGAATATTTTTTAAACAATACGGATACAGGAATTAGCTAGGAGTTTCCAATTTACTTGGATACCAAAAATTCACTCCCACGTCCATGCATTCAAGAAGAGGATATCTTAAAAACTCATAGGCGTGTTTAACGTTTTGTTTTTGTATTTCATCCAAAGATGCAGACACTCGAATTTTCATTTGGTCTCTGGTGAGAGTTGTCTTTTTCATGATTGGCGATCATACCACATATTTTTATTTATTATAAGGGTGACATTTCTGTGTGTCAACTAATTGTTCTTAATTAAATATTAAGCTGTTACACCGTCACAGGTTACAGGAGAATTTAGCACTT